CTGCGACAAAATACGTAAAGACCCAATCTAGCACGAGACATAGCCACAATAAGACGTCTAACGTCTCGTATATGCCCGACAGTTTTCGTACGAACCAGAGATAAAAGGATATCTAAGGATGAAATGATTATTCAAAATTCAAAAATGATCTTAAAAAATCAAATTTAAAGACATAATATATTTACAATCATTTTGTTGTCCTTGAAACTCATCAACTGTTGTAACTTTAGCTGGGCGACCAAATAAAGGATTCCATGAACATCGTTGGCTCAAAACATCCCTGATTAAAGCTTTCTGCCCATTATAAGTTGTTAGGATTGTAATCTTTTCAGCTGGATAACTATACGATGGATAAAAAATTTTAGCTAAATAATTGAACCAAACTTCTCTTCATATTTAAACCTTCTCAAAAATCAATTTTCGATTATAAAATGCTTTAAAAATAAAATGTTACTACGTCCTTTAACGATTCATCTAGTACATTATTTTTTTTTACATTGACGTGAAAAATGCGATAACTTTTTGTGTATTTACCTGTAAAGATTACGAAAACATACTTGACGTAATGAGACATACTACTTGAAACTTTGAAGACGTCATTAATTATTCGTAGGATAAACTAATAAAACGATTTTTTCTTTCTTGAATAATACAGTATTTAACGTCGCCATTGAAAATATTCTTAACAATTTTTATTATAAAAAATTTCAAACGCGTTCCTTTCAAATAAAGTTTATTTACGAAGAAAACTGGACTTTATATTGTCGACAAAGATAATAAATCTTTCACCGAAGTCCGTGGTCTATTCCCACAAAGGACTCTCTTGAAACGTTTCTCACACAATATTTTCTCCTCTCACCTCCAACCCAAAATCTTTGGTTCAAGGGATAATTTACTGAATTTGAACCATTGGTAAAAGATTTTTTTGTTTTGCTTTTGATACTGCTGAGACTGGCAAGCTTGAATTATTGCAATTCGCAAATTTGACAGAGAACTACATATGGATTAAACTTTTTGTATTTTTTTTTCAATATATTTACAGGATAACGTAAATACATCATCTATTCACTACCCAACATTCGTATATAAAAACCATGAATGTTTGAGAACTATCTATACGGATATGAACTCGAACTGAATATGAGAGAAGTTACTGCAACAAGTTCGACATGTGTTGAATAAGGTCAATGTTGAATAGATTAAATCAACAACATATATGAGAATGTAACCGAACGATTTATAGCGAGCAGGAATTTCGATGATGAGTTTTGCGTGTTTAGTGGGCTTGGGATTATCTTAACTTCGTATAGACGATAGTCAAAGTTGTTCGTAACCTGACTTTCGAGTTGACGACATTGAATGTGAATGACTTGAGAAAGATAACATTTATACTTCGATTTCTAGACTTATTACGTCGTCACGCGTGTTCTGGCGCAGCAATATATCTTAGTAGTCCACTTTGCTTAATATCATAGATAAATAGTAATTATGAATGTATGATGGATTATAAGAAATAACATGTGCGAAAAACTTTATTCCACACGCGTTACCATTTGATAGAGGGAAGAAGCACGATGATATCATATGACTAACGGAAAAGCGGAAATAATTATTTTTCGACCCTCATTTTATTCACGGTGCTTTTAAAACTTTACACTTAATATCATGAAGTTTGATTGATTTTCAATAAATGCTCATTTAAACTTATTATTTTTTCATTGACTAAAAAAAATGAATGATAAAATTACATATATCCAATGAGGTGCGCAAATCTGCATTAAAAATTAATGTAGCGCGAAAATAACTCCTAAGCAGATTCCGATTCAGCAACAACTTCCCAGGTATCATTCATTATAAATCCATCTTTTTTACGTTCTAGGCAACGGGCTGAAACAAAAACATTCTTTTCATGGAAAGCAATGGCGACCTCAACTTTTACCTTGATATTATTTGAAAGATTTGCCCGGTATTTCTTTTCGACAATTTGATCTAGCCCTACATCAGCACATTTTTCATTTCATTGTGATCATCAGATTTAGCAAACTTAAATTCAAATAATATGCAAATGCTTTTATTTTGACTAATCGGAATAATACGAACATCCGGGCGGCCTTCCCCAGTTTCACGATTAGATAACACCTGGTATTCATCACCATGATACATAGCAAGTGTTCCGAGAATAAATGAATGGTACCAAGTTTCGTATAATTTACATCTTTTGGAATCGGCAATATCATAACAAGACACTAACTCCGTATAAAGTGATGGAAATTGGTCGCAAAACATAACAATATTTTTTTTGAACAATGATTCGTAAATTTCGTTTGTCTTTACACGTTTCATGCCGATTATTTCAAAAATCCACAACTTCCATTGGTTTGCTACCTCTTCATTTGGGATAACTAGTTTGACCGTCGTAGTATTTATTGGTGGTGAAACCACGGTCAAGTAACCACTATAGTATAATAAAGTATATATTGCGTTTATCTCTGGCTCCTTATCAAGGAGATCGTATCGGAGATTCAATTTTAGTTGCACGTCTTGTAAAATGTCAAACTGATTTTCACCAGACTCAACTTCTTGCGATTGATAGAAGGAATATAAATGATTATAGAGCAGTTCTTTAATATCCGATCCACACATTTTTAGGTATTTTATAATTGTGATTGTCTGACTACTATTGATCCAATAATTATTAATAGCGTCATTATATAGATAAGATATTACTGAATGTGGATTGTAAATGCGAATGCCAGTGCTCATTTGGTATTCATTATAGTAATGCCGTAGGATATCAAGTTTGTCAGTTGTTTTTTTTTTTCCTTAGCAGAGAAGTAACTTCCATTTCGGTAAGTCCAAATGCATCAGAGAAAATAGCACGACCGGAACTGCTTGATAGGTTGTGCATTGGATAGGGCATTAGATTGTTTAATCCAGAAAAGAAGCTTGATTGTTCTAATGGGAGGAGCCCAGCAAACAGGACCTTCTCCACGTATTTATTATCCTGCATAGATAGCTTTAGCAAACACATGCAATCAGATTAATGACAATATAATACTTACCTTAGCTACACTCAAATACATTGTTCTAAAAAAAACGTCAACTTCATTATAAAATTTGCCTGCATTCTCCAAAGGCCAATCATATTCGTCGATTAAAAATAATGGATTTCATTTGAAAGTATGTGTCAAGAAAATGTGCCAAACAAAAAAGGACCACTCAAATACTGTAATCCTCATCTGTTATTCCATTGAGTATTTTATTAAAAATGTTTTCATCACTCTTTGAAAGAATTTTATTATCAATAATGTATTTGTGTTCTGTATATAGATCTGAAAGTCTTCACCTTATTGAGTTCAGCATTAGTTGCCAGGAGTTATTTTTCAATTCCTAGTAAAAATAAGTTGGGTAAGTTATTAATATAAAAGTTGATAGCATCAGCTTTACTTACTTTGAAGTTAATGAGATTACAGGCCAATTTCCAAAGTTCAACTTCATAAACCACTTAAATCAAGCAATTTTTAGCTTCTTAAATAATATAATTCTCTCCTCTTTATCTTTAAATATAGGTGAAAGGAAGGTGTGATGCATCAAAAGATTAGTAGATTTTCTGAACTGACAAGAACAGGTAATCAGATTAGCCTATTGTCTATAGATCATAAACTCCATTATAAAGAGCAATTTATCAACAAAAGTACTTGAAGTTATAAATTTGATAAAATTTGATTCACCTAGAGTATAACTTCCATTATCAATTATTTTGAGAAATTCTTCTAAAGCCTTTTTGATCCTGTTTAATGTATGATATATGTTAACAAATAATAGTAATTAATTAAAAAGCTTTTGAGAATATTCTTACTTTCTGATTGTTTGTGCTATAACATCAGTGAACTATTAAGAACCTGTTTTTTGACAAGAGCTAAAAAGTGAAGCATAATTAGATTATCATTATACTAAACACATAAAATATAGGCACTTATGACATATCTCTGATTAATCTAGAACGTTTTATGAGTCATTTATAATCTTCAATATTATTAATAAATAATATAGACTTAAACGTCACGTTTGTGTTAACCAAAACTATCATCTTACTGAAAAAAGTATTATAATAGAATCTACTTTGACTATTCAACTCATTAATTACACTTGCAAGTTTCTAGCATTTCTAATATTTAGAAAGTTATTAAGCTGTTTATAAATTAGATTGACAAAGGCAAGATCATCAACTTCTTATTGAAGAAGAGTTAGAATTATATTTATATCTAGATTCAAGTTCTTTCTTTCTAAAAAAGTAACAAGTTAATCTGTATTGTATCCTTTCATATCTTTAAATGAAGGATTAATTGTAAAAGTAAACATGATTTAAAAAATTTAGTAAGAATTTAGAAGTATATATATAAAATCTATTATTGCACAATTTAGTAAGACGAATAATAATTTGTTTCTATCACTAACTATGAGACTCTTACATCCCCTCCTATAAACACTAGATTTCTGAAATAATCTATTCAAATCATATCTAAAAAATTTTGCATAACCATAATACAGATCATGTGAAGAATTATATTTTACAAGGATCTTATAGCATAAATTCAGAAGATTAATAATGGCAACTTTGTTATTCATTGAGAAAAATAAGCAAAGATATATTCTTATTGTTATAGCTGCCTTATAAATTCTTTTTGATAGAATTTCAAATTTGCAATACTGTGCTAAATTTTGAGACTAATTCTGTACTAATTACATAATTTACTATTTACAAATAACTTTAACCAACTATAAATAAAGTGAATAGGATAGCGAGATCAACAAGAGACATTATTTAATCTATATAAATTATTAATTCAATAAAAGAATTTGTTAAAACTTTTGAACAAAAAAAACATCTTTAAAATTATATTTTAACCATTATTCTATCAAGATTATTTTTCTGATTTACCTGGCTGAAAGAAATTCAGTTATTTTTAAGAGGCTAATTTCTAATCACAATTTTTAAAATTGACCTGTAATAGGATGCATTAGTTCAAAGTAATCAAAGTATTAGCAATTGCCATAGTTTAGGTAAAGTGTATCATTACTAGTCAAATAAACATATATGAAAATTAAATTATTATTTGTGCTTAGAGATTATATTCTTATAGAAGGATCATCCTTCAAAGAATTAGCTATTCATTTTACTAAATAGGATATTTTTATGTATATTAAATGTAATATAATATATAATTATGTAGAAATAATTTTATATTATTAAAATATAAAATTCAAATATGCATTTGTATATATAATTATATAAATATCATTCATTGACAAACTGATAAATTTAATTATTTAACAATTTATACTGATTAAATGATATATAGTAAATGTAATAAAATATAATTATAATTATATAGAAATAATAATAAAATATAAAATTTAAAGTTTTATAAATATATGTATATATTAGATTTATATATGTATATATATATAATATAATAGAAATATATAAATTTTTTAATGTTTAGTATAATCTAAAATTAATTAAATATAATTATATATGCAATCCAAAATACAATACAAAAATATATAATTTCAAACATTACTTATTAATATATTAATAATCAAAAATAAAGTAATTATTTTTATATAAATTAACGTAAAATAAATTTTTGAATTTGTAAATAAATAAGATAGTTATTAAAATAAATTTAAAAACAAATCATAATAATATGTCTTTGATTTTAAAAGTCACTAAAAATTTGATTAACTCAAGAGTTAAATATTAATAAATTAATCCAAAATATGATAATTTAGTATTATACAATTACAATTTTCTAAATAAAAATTATTATTCTATAATTTAATATTTTTTTATTATAATAATATTAAATATTTAGAGAATTTGTTAAAATAAAATTATTTATAGATTATTTTATTTATATTATTATAATAAATAATTAAATTATTTTTTAATTTAAATTTAAATATTTAGAACTATTTTTGATAAATTTATTTTTATTCAATATATTGATAAATTATTTTTAATTTATTTTAAATCTTATATTAATTTAATGCATAATAAAAGTATTATTATTGATTTACTTAAATTTTAATATATGATAAAAGAATTGTTTTTAATTTACTTTAAGCCTTATTTAATATATAATTAAAATATTAATTATATTGATAAATTATTTTTAATTTACTTTAAGTCTTGTATTAATTTAATATATTATTTAATATACTTATTAAATTTATTTATAAAAACATTTATATAAGTAAGAATAATTTTTCACTTTTTAAAAATAATTTTAATATATTAATTATATATGCTTATTTAACTAAATTAATTATTAATTTTAAACTAATTTATTTGTTTAATTGAAATTGATCAGTGATATTTTAAGCAGATTTATAATTAAATTTAAGTTTCAAATTAATATAAATTAATATTAAATTTAGGATAATTTTAGATTAATATATAGTTAAATTTAAGTTTTAAATTAATACTAACTTTTTTTATCTGATCAAAATTAATTAATGATAATTTAGATGATTGAAAAATATGATTAATCAGTATTAAAATTTGATTATCTGATTTCTAATTATTTTGACTAATGAGTAATTTTAAAATAGTAATAATTATTTTTTTAATCAGTAAAGTACTATTTAACTTTAGATTAACAAACTTTAATATCTATAAACTTTTAGTTCAGATTCTAAAGAAGATATATAAATATTAGGAACTGATACCTTTGCCCTATTAATTGTAGAAGAAGAAAAACTTTCTGCACCTAATGAAAAATTATATTATAAAGCGAAAGAATACTTCAAGACCTTAGCTAAATAAAATAATATTGATCCTTTAGTAAACTAATAAGAAATAATAAGTACATTTATAATAAGAAATGACAAAAAAAACATAATATAAATTTATTTATATCTTAAGAAAAGTTTATAATATTTTTATAATAATATATTAATCTCTATAAAAATAATATACTAAAATAATAGAAAAAGTTTGCATAATTGATTTTAATAAAATCTTTTAATTTTTCAAATATATTACTTAAATATATATTAATTTACAATGAATTTTTTTATTTTATTTTTATTATTATGATGATAGTATTCTTTTATAATGAGAATAATTAATGAGAATATTTGTTATTTATAAATAGAATAAAATATATATATAAGCTTATTTATCTCAATATAAAATTTTTGAAAAAATTTATAATTATATTAAAAATAATCATAAAATAATTTATCATAATAATTTAAATATTCATTTGTATTCTCTTAAACATAATATTATTTATCTTATTATTTTTATTATAATTTCTATTAAACAGATTTTATATTCATCTGGAATTTTTGAAATTTTATTTTTACAGCCATTAACATAATATTTTTACATTTATCATAAGTTTCACTATCTTCACTTTTATATTTTCTAATTAAATTAATAGCTTATTTATTAATTTAAATAATAGATAATATAGGACCTTTGTAATAGAAAAGGGGGAAACAATTTGAAAAAATAAAATTTGAATTAATGCTAAATCTAAACATATTTTGATCTAAAAATCATATTTAGCATATAAAAGTAAATTAATTTTTTCTGACCATTTCCCTACTTTCTATTGTAAAGATTTATATAATAAAATTCAATAAATAAAATCAATTTTATTTTTTCAAATTAGGTAAATATTATTATACAATCTTTATTAAAAGTAATGGTAGATAGTTTTTTTAATATTATATATATAATTTATATTAAAATATAGGTAATTTTTTTTAAAATAAAGATAAAAATAATATTTATAAATTTTATTAGGTAACTAATATGTAATGTATTCTCTAATTATATTAATATATACTTAAATTCAATTAGATATACTATTAATATAATTAAGTAATAAAATTATCAAAATTATTATATTTTTCACAAAATATATTAAAAAAATTTCAATTTAAAATTTTTTTTTGTATAGTGTGTTCCATAAAAAGTCATCAAGTTGTTTCAAATTTCAAAAATTTATATAATCATGTGATAAGCATAATACTGATTTGTGATTGGCTAAAATTTATATCACAT